AGGTCCATGCGGCTTCTCCTCAGGGATGTCTTGCAGGAAGTAAGCCTTCCCAGGTGAAGCAGGGAACTGGCTAAGGCAGCTGCACCCTGGTCCGACCATCACAAAGCAAGCGACCTGAGAAATAGAAAGGCGAGACTCACCGAGCCATTTCTCTCTGTGCCCTTCAATTACTCCCACATGTGTTTATCGGCCAGGTTGGCACAATAAACCTTAACTATCTCAAGCACCTATTAGAACTATGCCACTCTTCATGCTTCTTGTCAGTCATAAATATAAGATACAAAGCCATGAAAGATTTCCATGTGTGTGCATGACACAAAGGTCTCTAGGGGGCACATATGGTTTGCACTTGGTAATTCAAGGCTTGTGGCTCTAGCCCACTCAGTGAGATCTCAGAAGAAAAGCCCTAATCACCTGCTTCTAGTTTAGGTTGCTATGATTGTTGCTGGTTTTCATTTATGTTTTCCTCTTGTGTGATTTTTTGTATATGAAGTTCAGTGTAAGTAAATCTATAGAGATAGTAACTGGATTAATATTCTCTTAGGGTTATGGGAAAGAAGTTGGGTGGGGATAAAAATTGGAGCTAATAGCAATGAATGAGTACAAGAAAGAAGCAAATGTTTTACAATGCATTGTGGTGATGATTGCACAACTCTTTTTAATACGATTGAACTTATTATTGTATGTTATGTGAATCCTTTATCAATAAAATTAGTTTGGGGAGAAAAAAAGAGTGTGGAGCCAAGAAGATCAGTTCTGGAAGACCACAAATTCCTTATCGCCCTGTGTTGCTTGATGTGCTAGCCACTAGCCACATGTGGCAATTTAATGTAGCTTAATGAAAAAGAAATAAAAGTAAAAATTCCGTTTCTCGCTTACACTAGCTATGTTTTAAGGGCATAGCAGCCACCTGTGGCTCATATCTACAGGTTAAAGAGCACGCTTACACCCTGGCTAAAAGTTCTGCTGGACAACACTGCACAAAATCAGTTTTCCAAGTAAAAATGGCATATTTTCTAAATAATTACAATTTATGTGGTATACACTCTAACTAGGGCCATTCATTGTACCTAATCTAATTCTAGACTGAGGATGAGAGTAATTTGTAATATCATTATAAGTATAAATGCATCTTAGGGTAGAGAAATCCATTTTAGCGACTACCAGCATTAACTTACGCTGCCTCCTTATTATCCCCTACAAGCTCTTCTTCACTTAGCAGGCAAAGTGACCTTTAAAATTGAAATCATATCGTCTTGTTTAGTATGTCTGTTTTACTTTTGCTGTAACTGTGGTTGAGCTGGCCTGACCATAAAGTTCTCTGTGACCTGTCCCGTGTCTTCTCACCTAACTTCATCACCACACCACACTCCCTCATTCCCTAGGCTTCAGCCAAGCGGTTCTGTGGGTCCCTTGAGTAGACCCAAGTCTTTCCTGCCTTGGGGCCTTTTTATTGCTACTACTTCTGTCATATTGGTCTCCCTAGCTCTTCTGTGAGTAGTTCTTTTTTTCTCAGTTAAGGCCTCCGGTTACCTCTTCGAAGACACCTTCCTTAACCAAAGTAGACACTCCCTCCTCCCAGGTCACACTCTTTGGGGCATCATCCTTATCGTGATCTGAAACGAACACATTTGTTGTTAGCTTTCTTGTGTATCTCTGTCTATCCATACTAGAATAT